TATTCTAAGACTTCTACCAAAATATTTCGGAAAAATATTAAGATTTACGTGAGCTGGAGCGGTTTGAAAATACCTATAGAAATGGAGTTTTTTATGAATAAAAATAGTTTCTTAAAGGGTTTTTTGGAAAAAATCCCCTCAGATCACAAAACTGTTTAAGCTTAAAAAATCTACATAAAAATATTAATTATTTTTATCAACGGAATCATAGTTATGAGATTTTCGATGCTGTTTTTTAACTTTTTTCAAAGATTTGTGTAAGAAAAACTTAAATAACTGCCCCAAAACTTCACCGATGTAGACTCATGGGGTATCAGTGGAAAGGTATTTGCTCACCCTTTTTATTTCTTCGCAAAAAGACTTATTGGTAAGGTTTTGGCTGAGTTATTCAAGTCTTTCTTAAACCTGTCTTTGAAAAAAGTTCAAAAATAGCATCAAAAATCTCATTATTATGATTCCGTAAATTTTTTTTTTTAATTTTTGTGCAGTTTTTTAAGCTTAAACTGTTTAGTCATCAGAGGTATTTTTTTTAAGATTAAAAAATTTTTTTTTTTTTTAATAAAAAACTCAATTTTTGGAGGTATTTTCAAATCGGTCCAGCTCACGTAATTCTTAATATTTTTGCGAGATTTTTTTGTGGAAGTCTTGAAATATAATATATTTTAATATTCCAGTGGAGAAACAGTACCGATTTTTTTTTTGTATGGAGAGTGATGCAGTCTAATATACATATATATGTAAATGAGTATATTTGCATGAACAGCGAGTATGAAATATATTTGTGCATAGTTGGCGGGCTGAGTCAAGCAATTAATGGCAACCTCTTCTGAGTAATGGAAGTGCAAATATGAAACAGCAGCAGAAGTGCGCCTATGGCAGGCATCATTTCGCATAACAGAAGCAGAGTGACAGCAATGGTAAACGCTAAAGGCCATGCTATTATAGGTGGCTACCGCAGCTTAAACCGCACTGTCAATTTTTGGCATTTACGCTTTTTAAATACATTTTATGCTACTGTATGCATTTACGTACATATGTATGTAGGTATGTATGTAGATGCCAGGTGCTTGCATGTGCGTAATTGTTTGTGACCGCAACTTAATCAATCATTATATAAATAGGCAATCATGTTTCCTTTACACCCCCTTTACGGCTAAACTATAATTCTAAGGTATAGACAATTATATATCATTAGAAAGGTATTTTGATGCTGATGTGCAGGCAATGAATAAAATTTCAAATTAGTTTAAAATGGAGCGATAAAATCAATTCAAAAGTCACACCAATACCAATGCCATACATGTACATGGTTGGGTCGGAAATGCCCCCTAAATGTATGCTTTAATATTGATAGCGAATTAAAGAAACGTGCTAAGCAGCAGTTCAGGAATAAAATGTATGTATGTATGTACATGAATAGATTAGACTCAAACAAGGAAGAAGGTAAAGTTGAGTATGGAGAAGAAGAAAGTGATAAATACAGAAATTAAAATAAAAGTAAAGAAACCTAGATATAAAGACAAAGAGGAAGGAAAATTTAAATACCTAACCCCCACCATTGTTATTAGGTTAGGTATTTAAATTTTCCTTCCTCT